CTCTGACACCGTAGCGAGGAGAAAACGTAGGCTCGTGTTTTCCTTCTGTTTGTAATCTAACAGAACCGATCACAGCCTGACTATTTTGTATTTGTCATATTCCACTTACTGATAACCCCTCCTTTTCAAATAGCATTTGCAGCAGGAAATTTTGGAAACACTTTATCATAGAGCTATAAAAAGGCATTAATACCTGCGTTCCACAGAAAAGAGATCGGGACGCAGTGATCGCACGCGGTCACCAGAAGAGACAGTGACAGCTGGGAGGAGAACCCAGAACTCCAGGTGAGGAGTCCTGTGTCCTCTCCATGAGTTCACACTGCTCCCCACAATCCACCCACTGTCCTGAAGTCCTTTACTGCTCTAGGGTAGGGATCATTTACACTGAGATAGTCAGGCTACAGGTACTCACCCTGCTCTACCTTTTGCTTTTAAAAATACTTAAATACACTAAAGCCCTTAAAATCTTAACTGTTTCATTAAGACTATTCAAATATCTTCAGACTTTTCCCACTCTCTCATACAGATCCTGTCTTCTGACGACATCTCTGAGTGCCTAAGGTTCAGGGTAGCTAATTTGCAAAGCCTAGCACCTATAACACCTATCTGTAGATTTGGAAAGTCAATCCAGTCAAAGTTGGATTTAAGAGCTTAACTTTAGAACCTCAGGTTTGAAAAGGTTGGCTTTAATCTATGCCATGCATTAACACTGGTTGCTGTATTTAAGTTTTACTGTTTTTATTTAATTAAGAAGAAAAACAGGAAAAAAGAAAACATCTGGAGGTATTTAAGACTGCTCTGAACTCTGCAAGCCAAACTGCTCTTAAGTTGGTGGTTTTTTTTCCTTTTTTGATACTTCTTTCTCCTGCCTTTTGGTTTTTCTGCTTACTAAATGCCAAAATAAAATACAAGGAAATTAAATGCAAGAACTCAGCTGATGCAGGATTAAGAAGATGAACATTTGAAACTTGTAAAGGCAAACATTTAAGGTGCATTAACTTTATCACTCAGCACATTTTTAATATTGATAATTTCTATACTCCTCTTCCAATACATGCTTCTTTTGCACCCTCTTCCATGAAATCTACAGAACAGCCACTCTTCATGGTGGAAAAAGAAAAGCTGTTCATGGAACCCCTCAATCGGCAAGGCTCAAGGTTGCCACTGCAATAGCTTGTAGTTGTTTCGCATTATTAAATAAGCGTTGAAATAACTCCAAGCATTCTAGCAAAATCAGTTTAACAACACTGAACAACCCTCTTATTCAGTACAGTTTCTGCAAGTCTCTGCCAAAAATATTATCCTGTAGCTTCCAGCAGAAAAACATTCACCGAAAGCAACAAACTTGGAAAGATGCATTTTCCTCCTTCCATCATGGACTAGAGAATTACTTACACCTAAAGTAAGGATACTCAAGGTACAGCTGGCACTTTTCAGATAACAAGTATTTCTAGGACAGTAGCTCTACTGAATTCCCATACATTTCCTTTCAGTCTATGAAACTGTCCATACCTTCCACTGGGGCAAGCGTAGCAGACGCGGCATGTTCGTTAAGCACCCAAGAATCCAGGCAAGTTCTGCATGCTCAGGAACCTGGAAGTACAAAGTCAGAATCCATTTTAATCTTCTGCATTTATATGCACATTTTCTCAAAATCCATACAGATAAATAGTATCACAGAGCAGAAAACTATTCATTTTTGTCTATCATTTTTCCTGTGAGGTCAAGGTGCAAGCTAAGGGAACGTTTTGGACACCGCATGGATCAGATGCGCTCCACTCAAGCAGCGTAGCAAGGTTCTTGATCCTATCCACTCATATTCTAGAGAAGAAAGAAAATACTTTAGCAATAACAGAGTTGCATGTAAACTAACCAGCTGCAGTATTTCATCAGGGCAGGGGTGGTGACGGTGACAGTCTGATGATCATCAGACATAGCAAGTCAATTAGTCACACCTGCGGTCAATCCAGGAAGCCTAGGGAGAAAATCAGGGCAGCAGGGACAGGATTGATCACAGGTACGCTGTGACAAAGCTCAGGTGAAGACTGGGGGCCTGAGCCTGGTTTAAAATGGAGTTCCTGGGGTACTGGGCAGAAGGTGTATGGGTGGAGGGTCCAGGTGAGGCTGGTCAGGGCTTTGGGTGCACCAAGAGGTCTTAATGACCCTGACCTGTCTGCAAAACAGAGACACCAGGTGAAGTCAAACTACAGCACAGCCTGAATTGTGTCTTATCTTGTCCCTCAGTTCTGCAATCCTATCAAAACTAATCCTGATCTGCCAGTGAAAGAGAAGGATCAGGCCTCCATAGACATTTTGCTACAGGGTGGTTTGAAAAGATGAGGAGAGAAGATCCCATTTAAACTCGTACAAGAAACTCTTCATTTAACATTCTGGTGAGATTTCAGTGATAGTGGTCAATTTTAATAGTTCTAGAAAGACATCAGGCAGAGTGATTGCCCCTCTCCTGCTAAAGGGAAGACTTTCTGCAGGCAGAGACAAGAAATGCACTGTGCAACAACCTCTGCTGGATGAATCCACGTTTAGCTTCTTTACAGACACTCCTCAGCTTTTGCATTTCATTTGAATGAAATGAAATTCAATGAAATTTTGAATGAAAATGAATGAAATTCAATGAAATGAATGAAATTCAATGAAATTTTGAATGAAATTTCATTCACTGCAGGATCAGTAAGAGAGGCAAGCACTGCTGATGCAGACATTTTGTCTGTTGCTAGCTGTATACACGATATTCACCAAAAGGAAAAGCTGATCTACGTTCTGCGTCTTTGCTTACACGTTTGATTCAATTTTCAGTATCAGAAGGTTTGGCTGTTTAAGATCATGCTAATGGTCTCAAAGATGTTCAAAGCTTCACACGCTTGAAACACGATATAACAACCCAGATGGAAGGCAGTAAAAAGTGTTTGTTGGCAAGCAACAATCACTGGCATTGCTCATGGCAATTCCTTTGTTATCACATTTGAAATGTTTTTATTCCCTAGCTAACGATCGTGAGACTATTTCAGTTGTCAATGTTCTGTGGAGGTGTCTGACCTCAAGACAACAGCTCAGCGGTTAGAGATATGAAATATTCCAGGCTGATTCTCTCGCCTTTTTTTCTGTCTTTCCCCCAGTTGTTTTTTTTTTCTTCTTTTTTTCTATTCATTTCTTCATGCTCATTTGACCTGCAATCTTCTGTAGACAAGACAAAGTGCAGTGAGATGCACCAAAGGTTCCTTCTGCAAGATACAAAAAGTAAACTGAATACAGAAAGTACTAAGCTCGAGATCCCTATTTCGTTTTCGAAGGAGTCACCATCTGGCTCCAAGTGGTTTCTCATTCCTTTCTTCTAGTCACGGACAGAGAGGAGATGGTGCTCTGCTGCACTTGTGTTGACAAGGACTCCCTTTAAAAGCTACGCAGTCACTGATCCAGCTCTGTCAGACGTTGCTGCCACAGCCAAGACCACGTGTGTGTTTCACTGCACCAGTGGCTTTGACATTACATCAGTTCCCAACACACCAAGTGATCTAAACAGCTGTGTTGAATCCACAGTTCCGGGTCCTCGCAAGTGATACTCACTTCTAATCCTCAAACACACACAGTCCTTTGCTAAGAGAGGGTGGAGTGCTGAATAATGTGAAGAAAAAGGCTGATATAAGGGGGAGAAAACGTAAGAAAGTGCACAGAAGGGTAGAGATTTCAGTTGGGAAAAAATTCACTACTGGAGCCTAATGAGTTAACGTTCATCACCCAAACTGCAGTAACTGCCTGTACGGTTGGTCTGTGAATCAGGGGGAACTAAGCTCAAACCACAAATCAGACTAAATCAGACTAAATCAGACTAAATCACTGTTTTAGCTGCCGTGTTTGACTTGGCAAGAGGGGCAGGTAACCGCTGCACTCGGCTGGCCACCGCGCATCAGCTCAAGCGGGGTAACTCATTGAGCTCAGTATGCCATCGCTTTGGTTCGAAAACTTTGGGTACAAAGAAACTGGAAGAAGCAAAGATGGATATGATACCAGTAAAATAAAAGCCCTGTCTACTCCTCCTTTCTGGCCCTGAGCAATACCAAGGATCACAGTTAGGAGAAGCCATTCTCTCAGACAAGCTCAGTACGCCTCGTGCCCCGAGTGCATTTAAAATTCTGAGCAGATGTCTTCACTGAGCAACCGAAACACCAGAATGTAAGAAATGATGCTGTACTGGATCACAACAGAGGTATCTGTAGTCCAGCTCTCTGATTCCAGGCATAGCAACAAGAGATGGCCCGTCGGGCCAGCACATGAACCTATTGCTTCCTATAGCATCTTCCCCTCATGGTTCTCCAGCATCCACAACTGCTGTACTAGGGAACATCAGAAGGTATTATCCCTGGCCCAGGCCTGTTAGTATCCATGCTCCCCATGAATGTGTCTAATCCCTTTCTGAACCTGTTGATAGTGCCCACTACACAACGACACGCAGCAACGAGCTCCAGAGGTCCAAACCTGATGTCTAAAGAAGTACTTTCATTCGTTTCCCAGTTTTGAATGCCACCTATTTCTTGCATTGCACCATCTGGTGAACAATTCCACATTCAGTTTATCCAGCACTTTTCTGATTTCATAAACTTTGATTGCATTTACACCTCGGCCTTCTCCTCCTAGACTTCTAAATTTTTCCTTTTAAGGCAGCTACTCTGTCCCCTGTAGCATTAATCCTGATCATCTCTGGTTCACTACTTCCTTCGTGAGATGCAGACACTAAAGCTCTCCCCAGTATTCCAGGTATGGGCACACTGAGTGTGTGCCTCGAGTTGCAAGCTGTAGCCCTTCTCTATAAGGTGCTGCAAATTCCAGCTTCCCCTCAGCAGCATCACCTCGTTAAGGGCTACCTTTTAAATGGGCAATAAATTTCAAAGATTTGGTTTTGACAGTGTAGAGGACAACCCAACAGGTCTTGGGAGGTAATTTGGATAGCTGTGTACTAAAAGAAATTTGAACCAAGGAGGGAAAGTGTCTTAAATTTCAAAAGAAATGAAGACATTTTTTAGGATTTTTGTCTCTCCCAGAAGCACCAGTTAGTGCTTCCAGAAAATTTAAGAGGCCTTTTAGAGGAAAGTGCTGCTCACATGCATTTTTTTTTGAACAAGAGGTAAGAATTTATTAATGCCTAAGGTTGCAAACAATATGTCCAAGATACTTGCTAAAGTATCTCTACGTTATATAGCTAGAGAGAATAACAGGGCCAAAAACAAGAGAAATTTGTGCTTGAATCAAATGCACACAGCAACTGAACACCCAGCGAGTCACTTTTATGACAGACAATTTGACATGGTATCCCAAATTCCCGTTCAAAGAAATAATTCAAGTGTGGGTGCAGTATGTTCACCATTACAAAGGCAACATCCGATTTCAAGAACATGTCAAGCAGTGTATTGAACTGGGGCCAGCTATCCAGCCATCATTGGTAAACCTATCAGTATTTGCAGCTTCCACTATCACCTTTGAACAACTTAACAACTTATCCTTGTTGATATTTGACTAAAACTTACAGAAAGAAGATCTGTCTCTCCTTTCCAAAGAGCCTGACCACGAATACCCCTACTGGAATCAGGTGATGCACCCAGATAGAGCACAGTAATTTGGTCCAGACACCCTTTTCCCTCCCTTTATTCATTACGAAATGAACTGGTTTTCAGAAATATTCTCCTACTCTAATCCACAACGCTGTTTGAGGAATTAGCTTGGGGTGTCCAGAAGACTGGTGGAGAGAGGAACATAAACCAGCTACATAACAGTATGAAATAAACCAGGTAAATTAAGGAAGAAAGGAAAAAAAAAAGGCATCTTACTGAACCATGACTTTTCTTCCCACTGAGCTGTAGTTATGTCTAGCCCAGTCCTACGGGGAAGAAAACACAAGGACGAGAGAAGCAGAATGATTTTCTGAATTAAATAGTCACATACTTCCTCTTATGACAGGAAGTTTTCAATGGACCATGCTAAATTAATGTACTTTAATGAATTTATAAGCTATGATGCAATGGAAGCTTTTAAGCCCCTCTGAAAATTGGACAAGAAGTAGCGTGAATCCATTCAAACTCTGCCCACAAACCAAAGCAGCTGGATATTTCTGGAAAATAATAGCAGTGAAACAGTTAGTGCAGAGATTTAAATCGTTGTGTTTTGGCATTTGGAGTTAAGGCTAAGACAAACTGGCAAATTCCCACCTCTCAGAGTTACTGCTACAATCTGCTTGCACGCTGCAAGAATACTGCAGCTGATTACACTGAAAAAATAAATCAACCCATCCAGAAGGCTGAAAACTGCAATTTTCCACCCAGAAACGGAACGTTATGTTGTCCAGAAGCTCACGGGACTCCTCAGAG